GCACTCTGCCAGAAGCATCCATTCAAATCCTGAAATACTGAAGAAGAATTTTTTGGTAGGATATGCATGGCTAAACCTCTAGCTTAAAAAAAGGATAGTTGAGAATTACAGGAAAAATGGTACTGAAGACTAGAAATCATGAACACTAAACAATGAAGATTAAGCACATCCTGGTCTAAGTTGCAAAAGCATGTATTAGATACTACTGAGAGGCACTTACTTGAATTAAAGTACTTTTAAAACAATCTCAGAAATTAGGAAGAATTTAAAATGCTGTACTTCAGTTTCCTTTTTATCGACTCTGAGGTTAAATATACACACATCGTAAATATTTAGGGCATAGATTTATCTTCATCGTAATGTATGCCAAACTCTGCCCTTCTGGATTATTCCAAGCAGCGACCACCTTATTAATCCAGAATCTTACTGCAAACCCCTCAATACTGGGAATGGTGTCAGAAAGGAGTATGAACCTGTTTAATACTAATTAAGGTAGATCTGGCAAGGCTTCTCCAGCCACACATTGAGTGTGCAATCCCTCAGATGCAAACTAGGGAAGGTATGTCTTGGATTCCACATGGACATCCCAAGACTTCAATATGCAGCACTAATAGATCTGCTGTAGGGGTAATACACTACACAGGTTTTCCATATGTGTCAATGGCCAGCTCACCTTAGGTCCAAAGTAGCAATATGGAAAACAGCATAGGCTTAGTTCATAGATGACTATCTACATGCAAATGATCTTAAAAGTGAAGAAAGTGAAGCAGGGGAGGTTGGAAAGGATGGGAAAAGGAATTACATGGAGCTGAAAGGTTTCACTAGAGCAGAGGTGTTGCTTGTGTTGAGAGTATTCAGTTTAGGAAAGCAAGTTACTGTCTGCCAGCTGGCATTTTCCAACACTTTCTTTAATCAAAGCATGACCAAGCTTGCTGTTATATGAAGGCTAGAGTATATCACGTAGTGAAATACTGCACTAAATAAAGTGTTGGTAGTTATATCTGGAAACATCTAAGGAAAGTGAAATTTCTTGAAGTCTACAATCCATTTGTCATGGTTTAACCCCAGCTGTCAACTAAGCACCACATCACCTCTCACTCACTCAATCCCAGCAGGATGGGAGAAAAAACTGGAAGGGTAAAAGTGAGAAAACCTTTGGGTCGAGATAAAGACAGTTAAATAAGTAAAGTCATGCACACAAGCAAAGCAAAACAAGGAATTTATTTACCTCTTCCCTTGGGCAGGCAGGTATTCAGCCATCCCCAGAAGAAAAGGGCTCCATCATGTGTAACAGTGACTTGGGAAGACAAATATCATCACTCCAAATGTCCCCTCTTCCTCCTTCTTCCCCCAGCTTCATATGCTGAGCATGACACCATATGGTATGGAATATCCCTTTGGTCAGTTGGGATCAGCTGTCCCAACTGTGTCCCCTACCAACTCCTTGTGCACATACAGGCTGCTTGCTTATGGGGTGGGGTGAGGAGCGGCAGAGGCCTTGACTCTGCAAGCACTGCTCAGGAATAACCAAAACATCCCGGTGTTATCAACATTGTTTCCAGCACAAATCCAAAATGTATCTCCATACAGCTACTATGAAGATAAACTCTATCCTAGCCCAAACCAGTACACCAATGCTAATTTCAAAGAACCTGTTTATATGGGAAAAAACCCACTTGTGTTTTCTGCTCACCACACTGAGCAGAAAGAAAAGGTGGTCTCTGACTTGTAGATTTTACAAAGACCACCTATGTTTTGACAGAAAAATCCCCCTCAGATGAGTAAAATGGGGGGGTTACGTACAGTCAAGCCTTTACAGCAGCTTGTTGCGTTATGAACTTTGTAATACATTACTTTCATCTTGATAGGTACAAAAGTCTATAGGAATTTCCTTTCAGACGTTGTGTTGAAGCAGTTTGTTTTATTGCGGCCAAATATTCAGGACAAGAGTTAAGAGGCACATCCAAATCCAGATGCTTCTCCCATGTGAGCAACTGCATGAGATTTTGACATTTGTTAGTGACCCTGCTCCAGACACCATCCCCCAAATCCCCAGCAATAAGGCAACTGCATGGCTTAGGGGATTGGTAATCGGATACCTCACCTCCAGGTCTCTGGTTCAAGAGCAGCAAGACTTTGTAATGACTTATATGCCATTGGATATTTATTTGGAGGCATAGCTGGAGAAGCGAACATAACGATCTCTGTCCAACAAGCAGTAGATGTCCACATATAAATACAAACATTATGACAGTTGCCAGTATATTTGAAACATTTGAATGACTGAATATCAGTCTAAAAGAGGTTGATTAACTCCCTAATAGCAGTCAGAATTGTGTCTTGTTTTAGTGCTGCCTGCATAGTACATGTGTCATGATTTATATTTATATATATACTCATATTTTGTAACTGATAGAGGCAAAAATTTGTGCTTAACTCTCTCTTTTCCCCTCCAGGCCGTAAAAGACTTTGAAAAGTGGTTTTGAATGTTACTGCAGGCAATTCAAAGCCAACTTTAATTTGCATTTTCTGTCTTAGGTGGTACGAATTCAACAAGAGTGAAAATATGTTCTGCAGGTCTTCTTAGGCACTTTACTACACAGGAGAAACTGTAAGCTCAGAATTTGAAACTTCAGCATATCCTTATTGAGGATACGACTGAAATAAAACTACTTCCAAGGTCAGTATTAATCTAATACTTCTGGAGTCAGACTGCCTGGCCAGTACATGAGCAGGTGGTTCTCCCTGTTGTGAAGGCACCAGGGCAGGCAGGTGTAATAGTCAAGCAGAAACATGATGCCTTCTCCAGTCTCCTGTCATTGGCGGTTCTGGAAGAGAGAGGGGCTGGCTGGCATGAACACCCTCTCCATTGCCCCGTAGTGCCTCCCAGTGGTCTTCAACTTCTTCTCTTTCAGGGTAAAATGCAGAGTTTTTAAAATGCCCTGTACAGAAGCCACTGTCCTCAGACAACTAATGGGGGAATACACTGACAGCAAGACTTCGGGTATCTAAAACCAAACCAACAGAACTCTTGGTCATTGTCTAGCGTGCAGCTCTCTGTGATAATGATGGATATGTGGTTTGCCTGTGGGTTTCAACAGAACATACACCTTCATAAAAAAACCCCTCAAACCCAGTTTTGGCAGGCAGCCTTACAAATGTGAATTTTCTTCGTATCAACTTGGCATGCAGAGAGCTCTGTCCCTGTCACTCTCAGCTCTGAGAAGCAGCAGCAGTGGTATCACATCCCATGGCTGTAGCGAGTTTTACTGTACCCTCCATGCATGCTAAGTGTAACTTCTTTTTTTGTTTTACTCTTCTTGAATGTGCTGAGAGCAACAGCACAGGAGACTAAAAAGGGATCCCAAACATGGAGAATGAAACAACATGAGGAAAGAGCACCGTTTGCTGCCATAAGGTCTCCAGAAAGGAATGAAACAAGACATGGGGAAAACACTTCTATACTTCTTTGACAGCCTACAAAGCTCCACAGTTTACAGCCCCAGCTTGCCTTTTCCTTCCAGGCTCAGGAAGCCAAGGGATCTGTTCAGAGCTGGGCACCCCAACTCATGTCTTTCCCAGGAAAAAACCCCAATCCCTCCCAGCCCTGCGCAGATGCTGTTACCTACCTGAAAACAGTCACCTAAACCTTTGTGTTGGGATGTTTGTCTAATTACTGCAACTGCAAACAGGGAGGGGGTTTGGGGAAAACAGTTCTGAGGACCTGTGGAAGTCACAAGGCTGTGCAAACACCTGTAAGGATTAGGGCTGTTGCACATGCCTTAAACATCGCATTTGTCTACGTCTCATACCTTGATCTTACAGAATGGGGAAGAAAGAAAAGCACACAGTGCTATAGCACAAGTTATACGAATAAACAAAGACTTCTGTGTTTAGGTGTGTCCAGCTACAAAGGTCACTTAGGTGTGGGGATTTTTTTTCCTCCAAAGTGATCCTGTTCAGGGTGTAATATCCTGTTTCATTTCTATACTTCTTATCATTGAAAGTTAATATTCAGAATCCTTGGATCTGATATCCTTCCAGTGTGTGCAAGAATTAGAACTAAAAATCATCTAAGCAAGCGGATAATACTGAATACACAGAAAAGGCAAAAGTATTAAATTGTATTGTTCTTGCATCACTCTGCTTTGTGGAGAGCTTACATTACCATGTTTGTGTCTGTGCGTGCACGTGTCAGATTTCTCCAAAGGAGGAAATAGGATGCCTAACTTTTAGTGCAGAAAATTAGTACCAAAACACACAAGCTATGGGACTGATAGCATCTCTGTAATCTTGTACTTAATCTGCTATCCGCAAGAAAAATCTGTTGCCTTTCCAGTGCTACTCTGCCCAGGCTGCACGCAATTAACGGGCCTGTGTTACCCTACGCCTATGACGACCCTTCAAGTTAAGCGTTTGCACCTTAATTTTTAATAGTCGGTGCCCGAGCAGCGCTGCCCACCCAGCTGGGAAAGCCCAAGCCCCACTCGAGCTCTCCCACTCCTCCCCCTTGCCGGCGGGGTGCAGCCGCGGTGCGGGCGGCAGCAGGTGCGCGGGAGCGCACTCCCGGCGGGGCGGACGGGGCGGGGGCAGGAGCGAGCGGCGGCCCGGGGCGAGGCGCCCCCGCCCCGGTGCGGGGCGGCCACGTGGAACCGCGGCTGCCGCGGCGGCCACTTCCTGCTCCGCATCACCCCGGCCGCTGCGCCCGGCGGGGAGGCAGGCGCGCAGCCCGCAGCGGGGAGCCTGCCGGGGCGGAGCGGGGGAGGGAGGAAAAAAAGGGAGAAAAAGAAAAAAAAAAAAAAAAGAAAAAAAGAAAGTTTGTACGTGCGGCGGCGGGAGGACAGCCTCCGCAGGCGGGCGGCTGCCGGAGAGCAGCGGCGGCCGGGGGAGGCGGGGGAGCGGCGGCGGGGCCGTGCCGTGCCGCGGGGGGCGGAAGGCGGCCGGTGCGCGGGGCCGGGCGCTGCGTGCGCGGCGGCGGGAGGCAGAGGGCGGGCGAGAGGATGCGGCTGAAGCTGGGCTTCCTGCTGCGCGCCGTGCTGCTGGCGGGCAGCTTCTTGGGGCTGCTGCTGCTCTGGTCCTCGCTGTCGCCCCGCGCCGAGGAGGCAGATCTCCCGGGACGGACGCGGGTGAGTGCGCGGCGGCGCCGGGGCGGGCGCGACGGAGCGGGTGGCGGGGACCCCGCCCGGGCTGTGACCGGCGGCGGCTGCGGACGGCTGGGGGGCGGCTGCCCGGGCTGCGGCCTGCGGAGCCTTGCAGGCCTGAGAGGGGAGCGCGAAGCGGCGGGGCCGGCCTCATCCGGCCCCCGGAGCCCGGGCGGCGCCGCACCGTGGAGCTGCCCGCGGCGGGGATCGGGGAAGCCGTGTTCCGGGCGACCCCGGCGGCCCAGCCCGGGCGATGTCCGATCCCCGGTGTCCGATCCGCGCTGCCTCACCCGGCGCGGGGCCGCCACTGCCCCCCGCCCACCCGGTGCCCGCCGCCGGCGCGGTGTTGCGGGCAGTGTCCCGCCGGGGCCCTTCCTTCACTCCCCGGGACTTCCCCGCCGGCGGTGCCCTGGGCACCCGAAACCTGTGGGTTCATCTCCCCTTTGGGGCTTTTCCATCCCTAAATACCTGCGCCGATGTCCGCTGCGTGTAAGTGTCCTGCAAAGGTCTCCCTAGAGGTTCAACAAAGGGTGCAGGTGTTCCCTCGCCAACTCACCTAGCCGCCGCGGATCGGCTTCCTGGCGCTTTTCTAACCAAACGGCAGGCTTTGCCAAGGAGAAGCAGCAGATCAGGTGATTTAAAAACAGCGCACGGAAAGCCAAAAGGCTTTATCCAGCTGGCGGTGCAGATCTTCCAACCCGAAATGGTGAGGTGTTAGGTGGGCAGTGCATCCAGAAAAGCTTCAGGATGTCAGAACGAATCTGCAGAGCAAGTCTTGCTGTGGCCTTGTATTAGTCAGGTGAGAATAATCTGACCCTTTGACACCAGGATCGCAGAAGAAGTCAAAGTGCTTCTTCCGTTTTCACCAGATGTTTTAGAGCTCAGGAATGTAACTGGATTTAAGGAGAGCTGCTTGAAGTAAGATTAGCCAAGATTAAAATAATCTTGGAAAAGTCATAAAATTTTCCAGTGATTATCTTAAAAAGGGATCTTTTAAGATGTGTTTGCTAATGATCTTGGCCCTCTCTAGTGTGCTGCTTTCAATAATTGTGGAAGGCAAGTGAACTGACAGAACTCTTGCTTTCAAAAACTGGAAATAACTCCAAACTCCTTCAGCAAATGTTGTCTTCTGAAGCTGTTACAGTTTGCTGTATCTTGGCAGTTACTGCTGAGGTAATAGGCCACAGTGGTTCTTTTGGAGATAAGCAGTTTACTAAATAGTGAAGTTTCTGTAATCTGGTCTTCTAGACACAACATGAGCTTTTCTGTGTGCAGAAAAATCTTCAGGAATTTATTTGCATACCTCCCAAGAAAATGTCAGGGAGAAGACATTTTGCATCAAAAGCAGTCAAGTTACTTTTTGTGCTCAGGAAAGGGCTGTAAACGACCTGCAAAGTGATAATCACTGGGGAAAAAAAGTAGTTGTGATTGCATTGCTGGGTAGGGCAGTGCCCATCTTCAGATGCCAACTACCCTATAGTGCATATGCTTTATCAGCTTACTCAGGTGCTGTAATGAATCATGCTGTCCTTTCTTATGAGCCTAAATGCTTTTACTTGGAGACTTTTGGACTGAACCCTTGTATCTACTTCCATTCCCATGTGAGGTCTAATTCAGAAATCTTTTCTATCTGGTGTGTATAGCCAGTAAAGGGATTGGAAGAGTTTTTACGGTCCAGCCCCTGATAAAGCAGCATTCTGTCTTGATTACCCTCTCTTGACTGGAGGAGGAAATATCCATGACAGCCATCTCAGGAAATAATTCAGTCTTTGTTGAGAACAAATATAATCATATTGAGTAAACACTGACAATGATGAAATCTAAACAGAATATCTGGTTCATTAGCTAGATCAGCTATTTACTTGCTGTTGTGATATATATGAGAGTGGGTAACACATGCTGCTTCATCATTTTCTGGGAAACAGTATCGTTATTACTAAATTTGTGTTTTGGTTTGGAGTGCCTTCCACCTCAGAAGCTGCTCAGGTAAGGAATAGTAGTTAAGCAGTAATGACTGCATTCCCCGCTAGCAGTGCTTCACAGCATGTTTCTGGGGAGCTGTCAGAGCCCAATATGTTCAGAGATTAGGACCTGCATGCCCTGCACTATGCTAGGAGAGGCAGAGCTGATCCCAAGAGGTGGTCTTGTATCTTGTGGTGTGCTACCTGCAACACCTGGAAACAGACTGTGCGTTGGTACAGCTTCAGGATGTGGGAAGTAGTTTAATCTTAACTGTTTCTTTAAAACGTAGTGCCGTGCATGTTGTTCAGTTATACAGATGTGTGTGTTTGCTCTGTTGTTAGTTGCCCAAAAGTTTGTTAAGCCAAAGATGACAGATTAATTCTTCTTCTTCTTGTACAACACCCTCCTCCCTTTGCTTGTGTTGAAAGCTCTAGCTAACAAGTATAAAATTCCTCCTCAGACAGTGCCAGTTTAAAATAGAATTTAGCTTTTTTTAGCTAACCTCAGCAGTACCCTTTCCCTCTCTGCACTGTAACCCTTGTCACTTTTTAATAACACCGAAACATTAAAGATCAAAAGATCTGCCGTGTTATTCTTTTTTAGTTGTAACCTTGAATCTTTTCCTGCTTACAGCAGCAGACAATAGGTAATATTGAAGACCTTGTAGTGTTATGACTATGTACCTTTAAAAAATTATTCCTTCGAATACTGTTATTTTTTTTTTTACTGATAAAAGATTTCAGAGTTCTTTTGGAGAATTAAAAAGATTAATGTACAGAGAGTTTTCAAAATAAAAATGAAAGTGGAGAAGTGGCTGTTTAGGAAGGAAATGAGAGAACAAAGAAGTAATAACAGTAATACAGACAGTTGGAGATAAGACCTTTCTTTCTCATGGAAGATTCCCACAGATGCTATGTTCATTGAAAGCATATGTAGAAGTTGGGAGGACAAAAGTCTTCTCAAGGTAACCCGACTGTGGAACTTTCTCCAAGAATCCATTTGAGGAAAAAGTGCCGTGGGATTTGGAGGGAGAGGTAAAGTATTTATTTGCATTATCAGAAATATCCAAAGACAATAAAATCACTCTTATCCATATGAGCTTTCAGTTTTCAATCTAAACCAAATGGAAACATTGAAAATATATTAACGTCTGTCCTCAGAGTCTTTAAATAAACAGCAGCTTTTTTGTAAGTAAGGTTGCCTGCTATCTGATAGTATGGGCTGCAAAGTTACTGAATATTTAGGCAAGGATTCTATTGTTTATGGCTGTGGTAAAAGATTAGGTAGAATCATTGATTTAATTAGCATGTTGTGGTATCTCTTGGATGTTTTCTGATACCTTCTGCTCTTCTGGTCAAGGGGTCACAGTTTTGGAGGCAGCAGGAAGTGACTGAGAATCATAGGTTCAGCGAATATGCTGAGTTGGAAGGGACCCATCAGGATTGTCAAGTCCAGCTCCTGTCCCTGCACCATAAGCCAATCACACCTTTGAGGCCATTCATCAGAAGAAGACTGCTGTAGAGATCCCAGCTATAGTACTTGCTGGTCTCCAGCAAGGTGTGTCACTAATGATCAGCCTCAGAGGCACAGCCTTAAAAGCTGGTGTTGTCAAGGAGTAGGTAGTACAGCAGGCAGAACCGTAGGACCAAAACAGTAAAGAAAGATTCATTACTGAAAAATCGAAAGCATATTTGGAGTAAATGTACTATAAGTCAACTTTAACTCTCTGAATCTGACCAAATACAAATTACTCTATTCATTTGTCCATATGAAGGACATAGTAAGGAAGAGTGTCCAGTGTGTTCCTATGCTCCAGAAGGGGATTAGTAAGGTAGTAAAAGATTTGCTGAAAGTATGTGGCTGACCTTGCACAAGTCAGAAATGTGGTGGTGAGATTGATAAACCCACAAAATAAATTCCATGTTCTGTCCTGTTCATGTGTACAGTGAGGAGAACTTCCTGAAAATTTGGCATGGGCTGCTTGGCCTCATATCTGGTAACATGGTGCTTCAGATTTGAAGCATTACAGTATTTTCAGTATTTCCCATAGCCACTGCACCTGAGCCACTGATGGGCTTCTTGTATATTGAAGGTATTTAATTTTTTGTGTCTGTAAGCGGTATGTTTTTAATGGGCTTTTGTTCCCGTCATATTTGTTTGTCAACAGTTCTCAGACTTTCTGTACTGTGTTCCTAGGGCTTTTTTTGGGTGGCTTAAAAAGTTGGACAACTGTCTCCTTCCTCTTGCCACCCCATCACAGCATGCATATCTCCTATACCAGACGTGCTTTCAGTGCTCTATAACTTAGTAGGAGCTTTTGAGGTCCGTTTCCCACCCTTAGACATTTATACTCTCATCTCCCAGCCAGGACAGTTAGCTGTTAGCTGTCCTTGCTGCCAGATGTCACAGCAGCCATGCCAGAGTGAGGGATGAGTGGTTGCCCTTGGAGCAGGAGAGGAGGCTTTGCTGAGTGCCCTACTGCAGGTGGCGATTCTAGCACGTCCTTCTGGTTCAGGAAACCAGATGATGGGCTTGCAGCTGGGGCTATGGGCCTTCACTGACTGCCAAGTTTAAACATTATAATTCCCACATGGACAATAGAAGGTGGAGAATTTATGATGTGGAGGCAGAAGCATTAGAAAAAAAAGAGAAAAAAGCTGAACGGACATTTTTGAGCTTTCTGTTGACACCTCTTCTGCCCCACTTTAAGAACTGCTAATATCCTGTATAGCTTGGCTGGACTGTCACTGAGATCTTAATGACAAGTTGCAGACTGAACTTGAAGTGTTATTGTGGTTTAAATTAGATTCTTTGTGGTGTATATCCCAGAGGAAATTCTTCACTTTCCCTTCAGGAATAATGGCAAGTGTGTTTAGAAGAGAAACTGAGACATAGGAATTTGAAGTTGATACAATTACTGGTGGAAAGGCAGGAGTCAAAATAGGATGGTAAATCTGATGTAACAGGGAGTTCTGGTGTACAGTAGTGAAGGTATTCAAGTTGTTCTGAACTTGCTAAAAACA